TCTTCATTCTCCTTTACTCCAGGTGGTTGGGACAAATTGATGCATCTTAGCTGGCCACTTGCTAGCTTTTAAGACCGCAAACACCACTCACCAGAGTAGGTTGCAGAACATTTTCTTAATAAACTTTGTTATGCCAGTTGACCTAGATGTCCCCTGAAAGCACGGTCCCCAGACCCCCTTCCATGCTACTCTGTCCTTCGAAGTGTTTAATTATATTCAGGAAACTTCTTAGCTTTGGTTTAGTCCAGTTGTGAGCACTGGATTCTTGATATGGGAATTGGATTAGAAAATCTCTGGCTTTGAAGGAAGTTAGAGATTTTGGACTTAATGAACATGCTCTAACTTCCTAGGATGAATCTATGGCTCTTGAGATTTGTTACCATTTTGGGATACCATTGGAAACACTGAGAGACCTGCAAAAAGATGACATGAACCTTAGGTCCACCAGGTGTCCAGGATAGGAGGGGAGACAGCCCGAGGGGGACACAGGTGATCCCCTGGGGAGGCATGAAGTGTCCCCCAAGGTGGGTTAGAAAGCAGAAAACTTTCAGGTGGTCAATAGAACTAAGCGTTCTGAAGAGACTTAGATCTTGGAGGCCAGATTTCTATGCTATGAAGAGGGGATTGGCAATTCTCTTCAGAAGTAATGGAAAACACTTGCATCAGGATCATTTTACTCAGTTGATAATGCATGAGGGCATAGATTGGAGGAGAAAACAGACTCCCAGATAGTTCCATGGATATTTGAGTACGATATTTAGCTCTGCAATGACCCATGTATACTGATAGGTATTACTGGTATACCTGATATGAGTTGTGATACATGTTAGGATCATAGGTGGCTAATAATTAATACCACTTTATATTTTCTCCAGAAATTTGAACAAACTGAGAAATAAGACATTGGGGACAGGCAATTAGAGATCAAAATGGCTTTCTATTTGCATCCAAAAAGGCTTGCTATCTCTTCTAAATTCAATGTATCCTCCTAAGTCCATGGGCTCTCTCTTGCTGGGACAAAGCCTACTCCATTAAGAGAACCTAGTGGCAGAGGGTGCCAGAATCGAGGAGATAAGCAGGTTTCAAAAGCCAAGAATGCTCCGTTACTTTCTTCAAAACTCATCCATCAGTTAAATCACCAAGAGGGGGTGGAAGAGATGTCAGGCCAGGAATGTTCTCTAGCTGAAGTTTCTTCACTTAGAATCCAAGGTGTGGGACAAGGAGGATTCCTCTGACAATTAGCAGCAAGCCCATTCTTGTATTGGGAACTTGGTAGAAAAATATGAAAGAGGTTTCTATTCAACAAATATTTATTAAATGCTTCTAAGTGCCAAGTACTTGTGTTGGGTCTGAAATACAGCAGAGAAAAATACTTACAAGGTCCATTTTCTCATGGAGCCTACATACTTGAGGGTGGGGGGTGCGCTAATAAATAAGCGTATAAAACCAAAAAATGCACACCTGATGCCTTCAAGTCAATTCTGACTCATAGCTACCCTGTAGGACAGAGTAGAACTGCCCCTTAGGGTTTCCAAGCAGCAGCTGGTGGATTCGAACTGCCAACCTCTTGGTTAGCAGCCGGGCTCTCAACCACATGTGTCTTGAAGAAATTAAAACAGGATAATACTATAGAGAACAACTGGGGATAAGTTGTTCTCTAGAGAACTCATTAAATAGTGTGGACAGGCAAGCCCCTCCAAGGAAGTCACATATGAACTGAGGAGTCACAAGGATACTAGGAGGAGGGAGCAGCAGCCAGTTCCAAGACCCCGAGGCAGGGATGGGCTTGGTAAGTTTGAGGAGCCGAAGGAAGGCCGGTGTGTGCAAACCATAGCAAACAAGAGGGCTAGGATATGAGGTTGGAGAAGGATCATTTCTTAAGTGAATACATGAATCAATGAAGTTAGAAAATTGCTTACAGCATTAGTATTTAATTCAGATTCTTAAAAAAATTCCCATACCTGCATTTATTTACATAATTTCTTTCTCTTATGATTAGTTTAAAACTTAGGAAGAGGAGAAATTATCGTGATGCTTTTTTTTGTTTCCTGCCAGAATTCCACCCTGTCCCAATTCCCATCAGTGAGAAATTCTATTCCTTAGAACTAGGGAGAGAGAAAAATCTCAGTAGGTAGATAGATTT